GCGCTGCTGGTTCTGAAGGCAGATTAGATTGACATAGCAACACACAGAGGCTGAAATCTGATTGGACAAAAGATATAAGAACCTTATAAATATAATGGAAGCAGCGCAACCAAGAGAAATGCTACAAAACTAAGAGAAGGGATTGTTTGGAATAAATGAATAAAGCTGGATAGAAGAAAATGAAAGGTTTAGTTTGTGAATGAAAGTTAGTGTTTCTGATTGGTTTTAGCATTTAAGGCCTTTAAGGCTCTGACCGCCCACCACTGCAACAAATGACAGATTTACAGTTATCTCTCTGCAATTACTAAATATATAAAAGATTGCGAATAACATGTTTGTCTTCATGGGTTTTCTCCTTTGAAAATGTCCCCGTCTTTCTATAATCACGTAAAGATGGAGAAGAGACACTCTGTCTGTCCACACACCACTTTACTCTCAATATTTTTGTCCCTTTTTTTCCAACATCAGTGCTTTGAATCAGGACAGGAATGACTTCCCAAACCACTCAGCTCTCTCTAAGGCTGCTGTTTATAGTGCAGCATCTGCACACACTGTTCTTTCATTTGAACTCTTCTCAGTTATAACGGCTCAGTAACATCTACACCATTGTAATTATACTGTCCGCCGACTCGACTAAGGAAGGGATATCTTTAAAAATTAAATTTAAATTCTGAACCTTGAAAGTTTCCAAGAAGCTCCATTTTGAAAGTATTTGAACTAAAATCTTTATTTACCGTATATAATGTGAATATCTGTGTTCAGTGCTTTACAGCAGAATCAATACGTCCTGCTATAACCACAAGTCTTATCGTATTTTAGATGATAGAACTGCTCAAAGTGGAGCAAATCAGATGCAACTTTTTCTCTTTTTTTTAAAACTTAGAAATAAGATCAACTTATCTCAGTATCTATAAAGCAAAGAGTAGGAGACGACTAATAATTGACCAACACAGCAGTGATTCCCAACCCAGGGTACTCGTTCCCCTAGTGGTCCACGAGTGCATTGCAAGGGGTACATCAGTTTTATTCTAAAATTTGATATAATTTTAACTAAATAAAATAGGGTTAGGATCTGTTCTACTTTGTTAGGACCAAACTAGAAAATAAAACAAGCTTTAAAACACCTTCAGCTTTGACATCCAAACCAAGCAGAGATCAGACTGGATCCTAATCTCATCCTGGAGCCGCATTAAGGCTAAATCTGGTCAGATGATGTATGTGGTGGAAATCTAACATCCCATTGGCCACAGTAACCTCACTGGGAGCTGTCCTGGAAAAACACAAGTACTAGATATGGGAGGGGGGGGTTATTTCTTCCTTCGTGAGACGCTTTCCCCACTTTCCTTAATGGTTCCTTGGCTGGTCCTTGGCTGGTCCTTGGCTGGTCCTTGGCTGGTCCTTGGCTGGTCATTGGCTGGGCCTTGGTTGGTTCTTGGCTG